TCTTTCAAATTTTCTGTTATGCGTGTTTCAGCAATATTACTATGTTAGCCTTCCTTAATCTGATACTGGGACAGTACTGTGGCAGCCTGTAATGCATCCAATTTTTTCCTTATCTCTTATTATAGTGTTTCAGGCTTGAATGGCTTTTGCGCACCACACTACAACATTGCAGTGAAAGCAATGTGAAGACAGAATAGCACTATCTTCTCCATGTACAGCATGTCCCCTGCAGACCTCGCATTTGCTTGAATATCTCCCAGAAAGTCTTCTCTACAAGAAAGGGGGAAAAAAAATCTATTGAATTCACTAGCAACTGTCTCAAAAAGATATAATTCAACTGATAAGACCTTAGGTATTACAGTGGTTTCTACAGGAAAAATACTAGATTAGACAAAGGCCTTTACATAATAGTAAAAATAAACTAGAAAAAAAATCACAGATAAAGTTTGTATGTAAAAGCTGTACAGGGCTCCTCAGCAATACAAGTACCAAGGTATTTGCTAGGCATGTGAGTGTGCATTCGCTTGTGACATCAGATGTATGTTATTATAGCAAGTAGCGGCCTTGTTTAAGGAGAGTATGGAAAGAAGCAGCTTCCATGGCCATCTGCCTACATATAAACTCTGCAGCTGTAGAATTCTGCTCACAAGTGTTTTGATTTTTTTTTAAGCCCAGCTTCCCAAATGAATTATTTACTGTTCATGTGTAGCACATAAAAATCAACAAACCCTTCTAAAAAACAGTCTAGGCCAAACCTGCATTGTCATCTATCTCAAAAAGTTAATGAAATAGATGGTAGGAATCATATGGGTAAGAATAATAATGAAAGGAACCATCTAATTTCATTTGTGTGTAGGGTTGACAGAGAAATCTAAGCAGGATTCTATAGATGGAGTAGGATGAGATTGGTAAGAGAAGTATTTCTTGTCCCTCAAAGGGTCCAATTCAAGACTCCCTGAAATCGGAGCAAATCTTTCCATTTACACAAGTGGGCTTTTTATCAAGTCTATAGCCTATCTACACCATATTGCTACAAAAGCTAAAGTGTCTTAAAAATAATGGTGTTTTCTAGTATGTAATAAGCTAGTGAACTTTAAGAGGTCCAGGAATTATCCTGTTTTACGTAGAGGCTAAAAGGAAATTGTCATGTAACTTTTACCCCAGATTTAGCTTTTGTATTTGTGTACCAGCAACAGCAGAGGACTTTGAAGGCATTTCCAGTCTTATGCTACGAAAAGTTGTGTTAAACAGAAATCTCCAAAATGACGGATTAGGAGGGTGGGAGAGTTGGGGAGAGCATGTTTTCCAGCTGAGGATTTGGAGAAAAGATGCAACCGCGTCAAAACAGCTTTTCATACGTGATTCTCTCCGTGAAGGACTAAACCCCAAAAATTTGAATCTCGGTAGATCTGGAGTCTATACACACTTTATTTTTAATTGAAATGAAACTTCTGTGCAAAAGTATGGGAGAGTCGGGTGGTAAGAGGAAACTCTTAAAATTAAATCATTCAGTTAAATGAAATGAGAGCCAGTCCTAAGGTTTTGGATTCCCCATTCTTTGCCAGGTCTCTGGCCCTGCTGTCAGTAAGTAGTGAAGAAGTAAGCTTGTTCATTTTTTACTTAAGGCATTTTCTTAATTTATAGGGAGGTTTTAATTTTTGATATTATTAGTAACCATTAGCAAATTAGTATTTTTATATCACATTAATAGTTTGAGTAACAAAATAGATCAAAGTATGGAATTTTTCTCTGTGTACAAAACATACTATTTATTAATTTTGCTTGTGATTTTTCAGAAGGCCCTCTTGATATTGCTGTTGTCCCACTGTCTGTTAATTAAAATAAAGCAGTATTTCATTTTTATACTTGTAAGAAACAGATGTTATTTAGAAGGAGCAGATGGAGAACTCGCATATGGCATGATTAATAAATTGTTGCTTTAAATTGGAACACTCAAAATAGCTCTAATTTTCACTTTGCAAAATTTTGATGGGTAAAACTAAATGCCTAAAATACAAACAAATTCTTCTGAGATAACTGTAAGAAATGTTCCTGCCTCTCAAATTGTTGCCAAAACAAAAATAGCATGATTTCTGATATCTCCTTTCTCACTGTGGATCAAATACAGCTCACCTATTCTTAAAATGGATCCTATTTGCATTAGTGACAGTGAACAGGATTTGTCACAGCAGATTTCTTCCCGACTTCTCTGGTCCTCACTTCCCTTTTATTTACATTAGCAGCAGATAGAAGAATTTACTCCAAATAAGAGTAAATCCACTGAGAATCAAGAATAACACTACAGAGAAGCCTGGTGCAACGTGGTTAGGTTATACTTCTGAGTGCTGGGACTGCAAAGATTTTAATGCATTACCAAGATCTGCTGACTGTTTCGGGAAGTTAGGCACACGTGCATAAGTCTTTACCTGATCCAAGCCCCTTTAGGTAAGGGTTTTCAGAAGTGCTATATTTTGTCTATCTTCTTCCAATCCTCCTGAAAATTTACTGAAAGTGTTTGAAAGTCTAGGCTTGCATAATCCTAAAGTTACAGGAAGGGCCCATTAACAGGTCAGACTTTCCTCTCATTACTCCCAGTCATTTGACATGGAACTTTCATTTAATTTGATGGAGTTATATCTGTGTAATGGAAATAGATTCACAGGAGAGGAGAATCAGTCTCATTAGGTGCTGACGGGCAGCAACACAGAAGTTAAAATTCTGATTTCTTATCTAATTTCTTGTTTCAAATCCTGATTTTTTTTTAAACTATAAGTGGAAGTCATATAAAACTGCAAAGTGAACTGAAAGGTCCAAGTCAAGTCTTGAAATGTTTTAGGTGAGAAAGGGTTTGGGACATACTTTAAAAATGTCAAAATATCTTTCTGGCTTGCATCTATAATATGTGATCGCAGCCTTTCATCTTCTCAAAGCCCTTCAATTTTGATCAATGTTCTGATAAAATACAGTTCTCTCAAAGCTTCTCTGAATGTCTGTTAAAAAGAGCCTGGCTGACTGTGTGTCCAGTTTTATTTATGTAAGTTCAGGTTCACTCAGATGGGGGATGCCAACCTATTACTTGGATATCATCTTTCCCCACGATCATCTTCCTAATGACATTTTTGTTACTATTCCTTCTTGTTTTTCTTTCTGTAGTCTCTGCTACGCATACTTCCATATAAGCTCTTAGGTTTAGATTAGCCTTCCTCTCTGTATGCCTAACAACTTCATTCTTGCAACTTTTCTTTCCTTCTCTGTTCTGGCCTCCTCTTTCCCACTCACAGAGTTTCCAGTTCAAAATACATTTACACCTGACAGTCATTTTTATTTTAATAACATTGTATCTCCAGCAGAGCTGTAGCGCTTTTTCCCTTTTTTGATCTCCATGTTTTTGACTCCTTATTTCTTTCCTCACCCTTTTTTACTCCTGTCTTTTAATATCTTTAGTCACCTGTCTTAGCTTTAAAGCTCTGTGAGCCACTGCAACAGACAATAGCTGATAATTTTTCTGATCTTTTCCCCTTACATATATTATAGCTACACCAGCATGTACATATAAATGTAGGACATATTTTCCTTCCTGTTGAATTCGTTGTATGATACAATCTTGTCAATGTTCTTCCTTCCTGAATTTATTACCAGCAAATTAAGGCAATTGCAATTGCTCGTGCAAGCCTACACTTCTGAGAATATGTATTTCTTCTGTATCCAGCGATGATTAATTATTAAACTCAGAGCAGGGCCAAAGAAGTTTTAACACCTTTAAAGTTGCTTATAGTACATGTCAGCAATGAGTGCTTTCGTTGGTATAGACACACCCCCAGGGCTCAGTTATTACAGCATATTTCCATGTTGCTACTCATGTTAATCCCTGCTCATGTAAATGCCCTGTCACTTGCAGTAGGGTGAGTCTCCAGGAGTGAGAACTTGCAGAATAAAAGCCATTGGGCCCATCAAGTGGGTGCATATCAGGCCTCACTTAAAGCATTGAAACTAATTATATACCAAATTTATGCAGTAGTGTGTATAGAAAAAAATGTTTGCAGGACAAGGAGGCCTTTGCTTCTAAAAATGTCTCATGTCATGCATGCAGCAGTGTGCAGATGTATTAAAATAACATTTTTTTTTAATAAAACACTCTTTAAAAGAAAAGGTTGGTTTTGTCCATCTCTGTGTTGACAGACTAACGCAGTGATGATTATTGATGTGTTAGGTGACTTATTTTCCCTTTTTCTTCTCTCACAGCAACTACAGCGCACTATTAGGAGTGTGGATCTATGGCTTTTTCGTGGTGATCTTGCTGGTCCTGGACCTTTTATATTACTCTTCAATGAACTATGATATTTGCAAATTGTACCTGGCACGGTGGGGAATCCAGGGAAAGTGGATGACACACGGACAGAGCCGGTGGATTAACCCTGCTCAGGATCCAGGCCGAGTACAGACACAGCCTCAGCCAGAGGCGCAGCCTCAGCCTCAGCCTCGGTCTCAGCCACAGCCTCAAACATCACAGACAGTACATACTTTAAAAGGAGATGCTTTAAGCCCACCCCTGATGTCTTTTCAGAGTACATCTGCCTGGTAAGTGAGTTAAACCATCCTGTCATACTCTTTTTTTGGTCTATCGTTTTGCGGTGTGAACAGCCACGTGTATTTGGAAATATGACTGCAAATTCAGCTGTGCTGAATGGCACCGTTTGAGTAGCTGGCCCGTGATTCTTTATATCATTAACTGTCTCATGGAATCAGGATTGATTTCTTGTTCTGAAATACTTAAGTCTTATTTCAGTACTGGTGTCTCAGAGAAATAGGTGCTGCCATTTTTCAGTGGTAAGTAGTTTTGCTACACTGTTGTACAAATAAACTCAAAAAGTCTTTGTTTCTACACTGACCATTATAAAGTTAATTTTAGTCTGCTGTCAAGGACTAATTGCCAAATGTAGCCATGTGTCTGTTGGCCTGGTTTTCAAAGACTGTATAAATAATAGCACTGAAGTAGTTTCAGTGTGAGAAATCGACACCATTTGTAGCATCAGACACAGAAAAACAACATGAAAACCAAGTTACTTTTTTATTTGCATAGCCAAAGCAGCATGGCTTAATTTCATTTGACAGGATGACACAAGTAGGCTACTGTAAGGTTAAATGGCACAAAAAAAAAGCACGACAGACCGAATGAAGGACAGATACTTCAGGTGCAGGCAGAGCATACTGCACAAATACGAGAAACTAAAGGCTGATGACCAGGGGACAAAATGATGTTGGACGATATTGGACTGTTTTTACCAAAGAAAACAGAAAGCAAAGGAAGAGGGCTGAATAAGAGAATACTCTGAATAAACGCCAAAATGAGAGGGTGCTTTCTTCTTAGCAAGAACAGTTTTATAGAGGGCATAAAGATAGAGGAGAAGCTCATAGTCATCGGTGTATGTTAATGGCCGAGAGCTAAGTTTTGGCAAAATAAAGTGATCAAAGAATTAGTACAGTGAAAAATATGACAGCAGTTCCTGAAGCTGCAAAACGCATAAAGTCACTATATTAATCTAAAGGCCTGAAACCTTTGGGTAGCATTGTGTTGCAAATAGGATAATGATAGTACTAGTCCTTTTACTTTATAACTTGCTTTGATGAGTAATCACAATAAAGATCGATAGTTTCTATCCCCATCTAAAATACATGTTCAGCTTCCTTTAAAAGCAGCCTTCAGTGCACTAGAGCGACAGGATAGATCTAATTACAAAGCAAAGTTTGGTTGTCTGCAAAACTGCTCAGAAAAAAATAAAAATGAAGAACAACCAATGAGGTTTTTTTATTATTATTTCATATATGCTTTCTATTTGCTTTTATTTTAAGCTCTTTTCTACTTATTCTGCAGTTTCATTTAGATGCGGCTGTGTTCTGTTCTCAACTATTCTGCAACATATATAGAATTAAACGGCTGCTCTTCTGGGCTGGGAGTGCTTTCTCCTTATGCACATGCATACAAGTTGATGAGAAAGTCCTTGTTCCCATTCTGGTTTGCATTCAATGAAATGTTTATGTCACAGTGTCAGGATCACAGATAGGAAAAATTTGGGAAATGAATATACTTCTCAATGACTAAGTTAATGACAGAAGAATAGTGCTGAACTGAACTAGACTGCGTAAAAATGACAGAAAGCAGTCCAAATAAAAGTTGTTGAAATGCTTTTTTTCATGATGTGTGCATGTGTGTGCATGCATGCGTGCACATGCAATTACGCTTTTTAAAGTGTTACTTCTGTGTGGTATTAGCATGGGCTTTTTTTTACTTTCCTGTATTTTGAAGGAAAACAATCTAATATAGGAACAGTATTTGTGCTTAAGCAGTTGGCACTTAACATTTACGGTCATGTTTAAAGTAAGTACAACTATGAATATATGGACACAGAGAAAATTAAATGATGCAACCATTGGCCCACTTGGTGGGACTAGGCCAAGAATTGTTTTTCTTTTCTACCACTGCAGTCTTGATCCATGTCGAGACCTTCTAAACACCTTAGTATTGTGATTAGTTAAAACACTGACTTAAAGTAGAAGAGCTGCAACTGTAAAATAAGATCCTAGCTCTTCACCTGTTGCTGCTCCTTGTATTCTGCTGCTTTCTTTCCTTGTCCTCCCCTCCTCTCCTCTTCCCCTATTCTTCCCCTCTTCTTCCTTTCTCCTCTTCTCATGTCATCCATTCTTCTTCCATTTCCTTCCTCTCTCTTTTCCCTTCTTCTTCCCTTCCCCTTGTCTCTCTTATCTCTTCCCCCTCATCTCCCCCTTTTTTCTGTTCTTTTTTTGCAGTCCTTTCTCCTCCTTTTCTTCATCTCTGCTTTACTTATTATTCTCTTCTGCTTTTCCTCACATCTTTCTTCCCCTTTTCATCAATTACTCTTCTTTTCCTTTTTGGTTTTCCTCCTCCTCCTTCTTCTCTTATTCTTCTCTTTTCTTCATGATGTTTGTTTCTTCTCCTCTTTTTTCTTGCATTTTTCATCCTTTTTGTCATCTTTGCTTGTCCACTCTTATTCCTTTTCTTCATTTCTTCTCTTCTCCTACTATTCTTTTATCTTTTCGCTCTTCTCTTCTTTTTTTCTTTCTCTCCCAGTCCCTGCAGTTTTTTGCACACTGTACTGCCAGTCTTAGTCAGAATTGCCATACCGGCTAGGACCAACATTGGCAATAGAATAATTGTATTCTAGCTTAATATGTATGTGTGTGTGCATGGGCATATATATAAAAATATAATGACTGCATGTACAGATAGAATTAAAACGTTAGGCCTTGTTACACTGGTTGGTAGCCTTGCTATATACCATCACAAATTAAAGGAAAACCTTCAGTAATTTTTAAAGGATTCTTGATCACTTTCCATTATTGACTTTTTTTTTGTTCCGTTTCTTTGCATTTTTTCTAAAGCATTAAGCGAGGATTGTATGTTAGGATCAGGTGAGCGTATCCCATATGCTCTTTTTTCTGTGATTGCAGGAGATGAGCATTGATAAGTCACTCCTATAACCCTCATTCCCTTCCCGACTGCCCTGTCTGTGCTTCCCTCAGTTCCTGTAAAGTTACTTATTTTCTCCTAATGCCTTTCATTGCTCAGTGGTAGAAACAAGTAGATGTTTCCCTTAGCAAATCCATGTTTATCCCTTGTATTTCATGTAAGACACTGCAAAAGATGCCATATTTTCAAGCTTATAACCTGCAACTTCAGGAACTTACAGCCCTTTAACTAAGTGCATAGATAACTCAAAATCTGAGCTGGACACAGGAAAAAAAAATACAGAGAAAAAAACAGCAAGCATTGGTGAACAAGGTGTTTAGTGTGTGGAAGAGGTTTTTGAGTAAACAGTTCCCTCAGAAGTATCAGACTTATGTACTACAGCAAGGGCTAAGTCACTAGGGAGTAAGAGGAGGTTGCCCGGCTATTTATTTTCCTATTAAGATAATCTGCAGGTTATATACAAGAAAATAAGGTAATTTTGCCATATAAAAGTTAAGTGCCGTTTCAGAATCTGTTTCTGCAGCAGCCGGTATTTGATGAATGACCTCAGTATTGTCTTCTCAAAAGCTAATTGTGCTGCCAGTGAGGAAGTGCAACAGACTTGATGGATTTATCATTTCTAGCACTAGCTTTAAAAAAGCTCTTTGCTCAAATTATTAATACCTTTTCTTTTTGTATTTTGTACTTGAATGTCCATTATTCCAGATGCTGACACCACTGTCTTGAGATGCTTTGGTAACAGCAAGATTCCAGTCTGTAAACTAAACTTTACAGTTTGGGTTGCCATTTACAGACTATCCTAAGTTTATCCTTGCTTTCCCCTCCATAGAGAAGACAAGTATTTTTCTTTAAACATAGAAACTCGTATGTATGCATATAGGTGGTGTCTTACCAGGAGTATAGTTTCTGCTTATAGAGGAGCTTTCTTTCAGCTCAACAATAATAAAACATTATATGAAAATACAAAATAGATTTAGTAATCCTGTGAGACGTGCATATAAACCAAGGCATGAAAACTTAAGTACTGCTGAAAATATTTTCCAAAAAAGTTCAGAAGTTTTCATTATGCCAGAAATGCTGCCTTCGCAGCTCCCTCACCTCCAGTTTCTTAGGCCTTATTTTCTTTATGTAATCCAAATAATTAATGTTCAATCTGTGAACAGTGGTAAGATGCAACAGTGACTTTAAAATAATAAACTGTGTGCCCTGCAAAGCGTAAATCGGCTTTATGCAGGTACTGCAGCAATACTCACAAACCAGGAGGAAGGGAGGTCATTTGGAGGGGGATTTTTTGACCACAGTAATGCAATGATTAGTGAACAATTTTATTTTTATTGTTAGAAAATAATAATTCGTAGTATCTAACTGGGATTCAGTTTTTTTATCACACTCAATATAAACAAAAGACAAGCTTTACTACAAGATCTGATTAAGTTTATGGAGCACAGAAATGGTGTCCGTAAATATTTCTTTTTGTCCAATTTATGATGTGATTGGTTGGCGTATATGTAATTGTGTTTTCAGAAGTAAAACACACAAAGATATGAGAAAAGATATTTTTAACATACCGCAAAATAAGATATGTGGGGTACATTGTCTACTTTGAGTCAATGAAATCAGCAGAAAACTGAGGCTATTCAACTTTATTGATTGCTGAAGAACTACTCATATCATAATAATTGTGTTTTGAAACGCCTCCTCCAATATTTTGAAATATTTGTTGGAAGAAGGGATTACCCTATGTTGTTTTTCTAGTATGAAGGAGGGAGAATTATTGGTAAATGTCAAGAACTCTGGACATGATGCTCTAAAACCTGTCATTGGTTTTCTTTCTCTTTTCAAATTAGCATTGATTTATCACAAGAGTAATCATACTGAAGCCACCATAACTCAACTGGTACAGAAAAGCCAAGCAAACTCGTAGTCATAATATGCAAGGCAGTTATCCATTCACATCACTTTTAAATTTGACACTTGATTTTTTTATGCTTTCTAATTTTCTTTGCTTCTTTCACTTAATGAAATTGTTAGCTTCCTGTACTACAGCTATATTATGGCAGTTAAAAACTGTGCCAGTTCTAGAAGAAGCTGCATGGCGATAATAGGAAAGTGATTCTTGCATATCAGAGTCTCTGCAATACAACTTTCTGCCTCCTTGTTGCAGATGGCTCGCAGCGTGAGAAACTGTCCCAAGAATAATGGCAAGATTAGCCTATAGTTTGTAAAGCAGTTTAGGATCTTTCTGGATTAAAAAGTTTATGTGAATGTGTATTATTTTATCATTTCATTTCTTTTTGCAGTTAAAATGTTGTGAATTGGCTAGGAAACCAATGACTGAAACAGAGAAAAATCAAGCAGATCATGGTATAGAGTGGGTAGAATTGTCCCCAAGATGTTTAAACATTTTGTCTTAGCAGACCACTTTGTTATTTGCTTAAGACAAAGAAGGCCATGTATAGTCATAATATTATTACAACTAAAGTCTGGAATCCATTATACACATTCGGCTGACTGCTCTGCAGAGGGCTCCCAGTGTTGTATAAGGACAAGAAGGAAAATCACTACTCTTAGAAACATTGACCGTGATTTAGAACAATGTTGCTTCATCGAGTCAGTCTAGGGATTGTGTGGCCCAACTAATGTTGATTTCTTCTTCAGTATGGAAACCATCTGAGGGCTGTCCAAAGGCCTGTGGGGTCTGAAGCCAGGTCCTGGTTGGATGTACCTTTCGCAACCCAAACACCGTCACAGATTCAGAAAAGAGACCAGCAAGTGAATGAGCTTAAAGTGTTGTGGCTTGCCTCACGGTGCTTCTTCCAGGTCATCGCTGAGCAACATGAGCTGGGCTCTTCTCCTCTTCTCTTCTTCTTATAAGAATCTGCAGTGGGTAGTCTGAGTTAAGCTTTTTTAACAGCTGGAGCTCAAACAGCAACAAGCAGCAGGTAAATCATTGCTGCTGCTTAACAAAGTACAAGCCAGGGAGGCAATAAAATGAAATACTCTCAGTTAAGTGGAGGAATCAAAATCTGGACTACTGAAGAAGACTTGTTCTCACAGCTACAGGAATAGGGCTAATTAATAGCAACTGAAAAAGTTCAAACTAGCAAGAAAGATCACATCAGATCAAGTGGGGGCTAGGTCAGCTTGGCTGAGGTAGTTTTTCCAGGGCTGTGCTGTGTGCCAGCTGTGAGAGGGGACCAGATGAATGCAATCTCTCTGCCTTCCTCTGTAGCACAACATGGTGATGTCAGAACTCCTTCCCGCCGGTACTAGGGATGCAAATCACAGGGAATAAGGTCTTGAAGGCTAACTTTTGCTTCTGTAGTCCCTGTTTTTCTGCACAACAGCACACAGAGACGACGTCTGCTCTGTATGTGCTCGCATGTTATGCTACATGACTCAAGGTTTCAAAAAACCTGCTGCTTGTCCAGGTTCAGAAAAAAAGTATCAGCTGAGCAGGGCAAGCTTGTGCGTATTTCCTTTGTACAGTCAATGCGTTAGACAAAGGCAAGACTATTTTAATTCCCCTTACAATCTGCTTTTGCTGTGACTTCCGCTCCTGTCTGTCACAATGTGTCTTGGGCAACAGCTTTCAGCCCACCACTGTTCACCTGCTACTTCTCACCTTTCCAAATGACTACTGGAGCACTTTTAAAAGCAAATTGGGGGGAGGGGGTCGGAACCATAGAAATATTGGCGGAGTTTGAAAGCTGTCAGGTAACTGAGCATGGCCTCAGTAGCTGTGCAAAAGACACAGGGAATAAATGCTTTGCAGGTAGTTAAAGGCTATGTGAAAATATTCCCTTTGATAACAGATACTGTGAAACAGGATACAACATTATCACTGGACAAGTCCTAGGATTCAGTAATTTCTTTTTTGAGCAGCTGCCCATGCACTCTGGCTTGTGTCACCTAGCTTGGGCCATTGGCTTTGAAATGGGTCAGATGTGCAGCGTGAACCACCGTCCACCAAAAGCGTGTTTCTACCACAGAGTATTTCTAGCCCCCACTTGACCTGCTGTGATCTTTCTTGCTAGTTTGAACTTTTTTAGTTGCTATTAATTAGCCCTATTCCTGTAGCTGTGAGAACAAGTCTTCTTCAGTAGTCCTGGTGGTAGTGTTTCTATGCGGAGAGTGCTCTAGACAGAAGTGATTTCATTAACAAAATCTGCCCCATTCTATTTTAGGCAGTGTTTTGAAAATAAGAAAGATCTCAAATTTACATTTGCAAAATACTACTACATTAAACGGGAATATGAAAATACAATTTTAAAGATGCAAAATTTTATGTCAAAGGGCTAGAGCAACAATAGTTTTAAAAAAAAAATTGAAAGAAATAACAAAATGTAATACTCTTGTAAGCCTTTTGAAAGAACTGCCTGGCCCATGAATATCATCTGAAATATCTGTCTAGTACCAGATGCTAAGTATATAAGATCAAACGTACACTGTTATAGGCATATCCATTCCCTTCAAAATATATTGGCCTAGAGGAACAGATAGTGTTATTCTCCGTATACTTGTCTGTTTTAAAGGAAGTGCATAACTGTGAGACTAGCCTTGCGTTTGTTTTTAAGCAGTTCCTAAGAAAAGCACTTTTTGCTCCCAAAAAAAGCTAGCTGCTCAAACTGGTTGTGCATTGCAAATCCTTGCTCCTGTGCTTGGGCTCCTACTTGTTTTAGTTGCTATTAATTAGCCCTATTCCTGTAGCTGTGAGAACAAGTCTTCTTCAGTAGTCCTGGTGGTAGTGTTTCTATGCGGAGAGTGCTCTAGACAGAAGTGATTTCATTAACAAAATCTGCCCCATTCTACTTTAGGCAGTGTTTTGAAAATAAGAAAGATCTCAAATTTACATTTGCAAAATACTACTACATTAAACGGGAATATGAAAATACAATTTTAAAGATGCAAAATTTTATGTCAAAGGGCTAGAGCAACAATAGTTTTAAAAAAAAAATTGAAAGAAATAACAAAATGTAATACTCTTGTAAGCCTTTTGAAAGAACTGCCTGGCCCATGAATATCATCTGAAATATCTGTCTAGTACCAGATGCTAAGTATATAAGATCAAACGTACACTGTTATAGGCATATCCATTCCCTTCAAAATATATTGGCCTAGAGGAACAGATAGTGTTATTCTCCGTATACTTGTCTGTTTTAAAGGAAGTGCATAACTGTGAGACTAGCCTTGCGTTTGTTTTTAAGCAGTTCCTAAGAAAAGCACTTTTTGCTCCCAAAAAAAGCTAGCTGCTCAAACTGGTTGTGCATTGCAAATCCTTGCTCCTGTGCTTGGGCTCCTACTTGATGTCAAGGCAGGAGACCAACAGTACAAACAGATTGTAGGCTTAGAACCTAAACCTAGAATTCTGCAAGATGCGAGTTTTTTTTCATTTGTTTCAGTACTATGATAATGCAAACAAACGGAAAGATTTAGTTTTAAATTGCATCGTTTGCATTGAATTCAAGATATGTAGTTACTGTGTGTGTTCGTTCTTATATTTAGAAATTCACTATTAGCGCATGAAATTAAGCCAACGTGCAAGGATTTCACCCACGTTGCTGTGATTACACACAATCCTTGTGTATTTTGACAGGCACTACCTCTTTTGTTGATATGTAAATAATACATATTAGTCATTTCATGCTGTATTCTCCTGTTCCTTCTGCCCTATAAATTACAGATCTTATATCGCAACGTTTAGTTCTATATGTTCTTGTCAACTGCAGATTCATGGGATAAGGGGATGATCAGCAATATTCCTTATTTTAACTCTTTCTCAGCCTCTCCATCAAACTGAGACTGTTGCATTCATCAGTGTCGCTAAACTCTTTTAAATGGACTGTACAGCTGAAGTGATTAATCTAAACCTGAATATGGTGATAACTTGCCAGAAAATAGCAATTAGAAGAAAAATGAGTAGTTAAAAGGTCATCTGAAGACTTATTGCTAAATGAACTCGGCACACTGAGAAATGAAAACTAGTAAAAACACTGGAAACCACTTCTGAACATCTTCTATATTTAAGTTTTCTCATATAGTTTGAGTAGATTGTCTTGTATCCAGATCCTTAGCTCATTTACATCAGAACAAATCCAGAGCAACAGTACTGAAATAGCAGAGTGACAGTAGAGTAAAATCAGTGTGAAACCAGAGAATCCAACTGAGCTGCAGTTGCACTGCGTAGTGTCACAGCTCTCGTGTTGCACACAAGAATGAGTGCAACATCACAAGTTTTATCTACTAATCCCGTCCTCTCCATCATAATAAAAGCTGCTTAATTTTGTAGACCCTATAATTATTTTAGTAGTTCTTTCTCCTACCTCTTAGATCCCCTTAGAAGCCAGATACTCAACAGTATCCTAATAGTACATGGTACTTTTTTATACATTTTGTATATGTGCTGAGAAACAAAAAAGTTGTTTTAAAGATCCTCGGTTAGATTCTGAAGTATCACAGAGAAACTTTAAAACAGCCCCAGCCACTTCCTAAATACAGCTGAGAACAACACCTGAGTTTCAAAGAAAAATACTGGCATACCTCATACAGTCAGCCCATTTCTCTCAATAGCTCTTCAAAAGTGTCCAAGCTGGCTGATTTCAGTTAGCTTTTTAAATGCCAAAAAAAAAAAAAAAAAGGAAGTCAGGCGCTCACGATCACTCCTGATTTAGCTTTGCAAATATAAATGTAACTGAAAATCAGTCTACCTGTCTCTAATGTGCCATTAAGAATAGCTGGCTCTAGAGTATCAAAGGCAAAGGTATGAGGGTGCTGTTGCTCCCCACACCTTGTATGGAATTGTGCAGCCTCCGCTGAATTAAGTTTAAATTGGCAGGGACCAAAACTTACTACATTACTAAAATCAAATTAATTGCTTATAGGTTATGAATAGACTAAACAAAACAGATAATAGACAAGCAAGTGGCAGGGAGGATAAACAGCGTTAGCCAAAGATACTGGAAGAAATGATAGAAGAGATAAAAGGGAAAGGGTTCAGGAGCTGGAGTTACTGACCAAAAGAGGCAAGCCTTCCTGCATTTATGCAAAGTTACAACAGGATTGCTGGGTAAGATAGGAGAACTTTATCAGAGTTCTGAACTGAAAGAAAACCATTTTTCCAAAATAAAAGGTGGAGACAGAAGGAGGAGTATGTATATATTTTATATATGTATGTATATAAAGCATAGATATATTTATTTATATTTATTTAATAGCATATAGAGGAGGCTAAAATTTCTAAATGAAATAATGGCATGCTATGGAATACCAGAAAAATAATCAATTCATCAAAAGCTTATGTGGTAATGCTGAATGTATGACCATAAATGGAAACAATATCAGACCATTATTTGTAGTGAGGGCTGAGGTCAACTATCTACCACACCATTACTTTTATTGACACTAGCCCCTGATTAGCTCATGAGGAAGACAACTACAGTGAGCAATTAGGCATTTCATGCAGAAAATGATAAAAAAAAATTTGTACGACCTTGGTTTTATAATGACGTTTCCCTGAACAGTTCAAGAAAAGTCCAGCAATTAGACATAGTCAGTTTGTTCATTATTAGGAAAATATCAGATATATGGCTATTTAAGTCACAAAAAAAAACCCAAAAAAACAGAATAGATGAAAAAGCATTAGAGTTTGGGAAACATTGGAGTCATTTTAGCTGTTCATTAAGACATGCGAGAACATGATAGATGCTGATCAACAGTTTTCAAAAACTTAAAAGGTTCTGGAGAAGTTATATGATCAACACTGTCATAAATTCATATTTTTAACACTAGCATCATATCTGATTTATTTGGGGATAAAGCCACAGATCTCTATAACCATAATTGTAAAGAAAATCTATTCACTGCAGAAGGAATGCTTCTGAAAAGACTTTGAAGTTCACTATAAAGGTGCTTGGAAATCAGAAACACTGACAAGATTAAACAA